GCACGGTCATATGCGACAAAGGGAAGGTACCTCATGATTTCATGGCACGCATTCTCAGCCAGCATCCCAATGTGATGTATATATGGGCTCCAGATGGTCGATGAGAGCCACTCGATTGAAAGTTTCCGCTGTATACCAAAGTTACCAATCTCCGCTTCCTTCAGGCCTTGAATGCTTCTTGCGCGAAGCCTCATTCTAGTCCAACAATACTCTACACATGGTGACCATACACTTGGAATAAGCATTCTAGTCCCATAACGTGAATGAAAAACATACAAAGTCACATAAGGCTAGCTTTGAACCAATTATTCCAAGGCTCGTGTTGACATGCAGGGTGCCATGCAGGTGCTGCAAGGTACATTTGGTGATCATCCATACGGCCGCGGTACTAGCGCGCCATCCCTGTTACCCGTCCACCCCCGAGTGAACTGCTGACCACCCCTACCACTTCGGAGGGTATCACCTTGCTGAGCAAGAAACTGGAACACGATATCGGTGATCTTGACAGCCCTGTCAAACGACGATTCGCAAAGTTCCGCAATGCGGTTGAAAAGTCGCTCGCCGACTGTTCGCTCCTGCGAGCGGATAATAAGCACTTGTTCGACCAGAATAATGAGAAAAAGACGCGAGCATCGACAAGGTCCACCGTGATCGGACGGGCCAAGATCATGACATATGATGACCTTGCGGCGGCCCGAAAAAAGCGTGGAGCAGCGGAACCTGGCACCGCCGGCCGAATTAGAAAATCTGCCAAACGTCAAAAAAACGGTCCCAGCCCTCCCAAGACTCCTAAAACCTCATCAGACGCTCCTTCCAATCCTAAGGAAATCGACAAAGACATGTCCGGGATTGAGTCTAGGGGCTTGGAAAGTTATTGTTCTGTTTTGCAGTTCTGATTCTCCATTCAACCTCTCATTAACAGACTAGCATATCCTCGGGAAAGTGGAGCCATTCTTGACGAAGGGCGTGCCTTGTTCTGTAAACTCAGCTTCCGTGATTTCACCACGAGGATATTGAATGACGAAAGGTGAAATGTGTTCGGTGATCGATATTTTATTGTGGCTAATCGTCGGCAGGCAACGAGCTAGACACTGGGAGCTGCAGACGAGAGGATGGAATCGCTCTGAAGATTTCCAACCGGTTTTGTTCTCTCCCCGTCAATGCCCGCATCAAGTGCTGGAAAGGTGAATGGAGTCAACCTTCATAGTTCACGATAAAGGGCCGCTTCCCATTTCTTGGACGGTAGGGCTCTTGGGGCTGGTTTTGGTATCCTGCATTTACTCATGACAATTTTGATATTTTTTCTTGCGCAAGGTGTTGCCTGCACTCTATGATGTGTTCTAGCATCTATCCTCAAATCGCATACAGTATTTTAGCACCATAATATTCCGTCGCCAAGAGTAATGCAGATCGATTATAGGGAGAACGAGTGAGGGAAAGCGTCTTGTCAATCTTGAGGAGACCCTCGTGCCTGGGTCATCGAAATCTCCCGAACGTTGAGTTGATAGTGTGGGTGCGAAGGGAAGTAGAACACGGGGCGAAGCAGGAAGCTGCCATAGCTCTTCAACGCGCTCACAATTTGAACGTATTGTAGAATATCGTGTTAGTCGACAGGGCCAAAGGGCTGAGGTGTTTGTGCTTGTGTTCCAGGCGCAATTTCAGGTTTTCGCGCGCAGCTCAGCCGCGCCATACCGGAAAGGTGCGGCCAGCTAGGAAGGAATGCTCAGGGACGGAGGACTTGGCGCTTGCAATGCAGATACATGGAATTGGTGCCAGGCACCACGTGATCGTATCGGAGAGTTCTCGGCCTCGTCGGAGAAGTACTTGGTCACAGGGGTAATTTTCGTGGGGAATTCGTCCCGGTCGCCAACGTCATTTGGCTGTCATTTCGTGAAAACACATGAAGGCTTTCCCGAGTATAGAAATATCCTTTGACATTACAACTTAGACCGTGGTCCTCTGCGTACCACTCCTCGACGCGTGGAACGGTCAGCTTGAGATCACCATGTGCCGTGGTGACTCATCGCTTTGCCCGCCTGGCAGCGAGCGCATAAGGCTCTTCGCGTCCACCAAAAGCGATTGGATGAGGGCT